GTTTGGAGCATGCTCTGGTTCTGATGCCAGGTTGTTTCAGCCTTTATCCAGTCTCATGTAGAAGGACTGGTCACATCACTGGTTATTTGCATTTCAACAACGACAGTTAGTAAGGTAGAGTGAATACACAAACCTGAAGAGGGGAGGGGGGCTTGCAGGAAAACTGGAATTCTCCGGGACATCTAGTGTTAAACGATAAAAAATGTCTGGATTTAAAACATGTTGTGACCGTAGCTCCAGCAGGGGTTAGCGATCATAGATGTGGGCTTGAAGTCTAGTTTGTATCATTTTAAGCGGCATATTATGTGAAAATGTCAAGAGGAGCTGTTCTTGCCTTGGAGCGCTGTTATGGTAACGACTCAATCAAATCAAATCATTTTTAAAATAAAAATAAAAACCATCAAGATAATTTCATCCAGACAATTTTTTCTTTGTGGTTGGACTCGGTGCTGCCCCAACTTGTTGCTCACCACATACCAAAATAAATAGTTTATCGAGATGATGCAAAGTTAAATGTGCCTCTGCTAGTGTTAGTTATCAAACTTAGAAAATGAAGTCTAAGGAAGTTTTCGTCCAGAATGGTAGAAAAATGTTCCTTTAATAGAGTAAAGCAGTAAAGCTTCTGGCATTAACTTTTTTCCTACATTACTTTTATACTTTAAATAGTTTTAAAAATGGAAATTTTACACTTTTACTGGAGTAAAAAGCTGAAGTTGATCCTCTAACTTCTATAAAAGTGTTTTTAAACTGCAGGATTTATACTGGAGGAATAAAGATTAATACTTTGGAGCTTAAGTCAATGTTGCTTCACATCATGCTGGATCCAGAGATCCTTAATAAACACGTAAACTTCTAAACCTCACATCAGTCAGGAAGCACTTCACATTGTTCTTGTTTTGCATGTTTAACAAACCTGAACATGAATACCTGCCTCCACCGGGCATAGAAGGGATTATTCAGAGACTGTCTTACTTTCTAAATATTCTTCCCACATTTAAAACCTGTTTTTATTCAGTCATGAATCTGCAGGTTGACAGTAGATCCAACAAAGTTCAGAAACGATGGCGTTGCAAGATGCCTACATGACCTTTGTTCTCTAAGTTTCCTACAACTCTGCACAATTTAGGTTTTACCTACAAGAAACAAAGACAATGACTTCCTTTTAAAACTTCATCACATAGTTTGGCTTTGAGTAAAGCTGGTTCAGTAAGATGAACAGATTGCAGAAGTTAGTTTTTAGAAAGCTGCCTTTGGTTGAGCAGATGGGTGGGCCTGGTCCTGTGGACTAAATTACAGGTCTAAGGACAAAACATGAAACTATATAAAGCCTGAAGCAGAGAGCATAAATCCTGAGGCAGCAGAACGTAGAAGAACAGACATCAGAAAACATGTTTTATCAGGAATGGATAAGAAAGGATCTGATATTTAACAGAAAGCAGATTTTAAAAGCAAACATTTATTAAAGCCAGTTGGTCACATCCTCCCTGCTTTAACTCCTGAACTTCAACCTTCCCCCGAAGCGTCCGTCCAGCTTCTGCAGCGCCGCCGTCATTCAGTCGGTTCTCTGCAAACAGAGATGAACTGAAATGAAGGATCAGGGCTGTGAGGAGAATCGTCTGACCTGGAGGTCCCTCCATCCAGGGCTTGGAAGGAACCATAGTGGTGAAAAAGACCCCACACAAACCAGACCCCCCACCACCACCCCGCCTGTCTCTGTAAAAACACATCAGACCAACAGCTGCAGACAGAGTGGAACAAAAATATGTAATGCGGACTAAAATATATATTTCCTCTTTTAAAACCAGAATGAGATGCGATGTGTGCGGATACACTGACCTGCCTCTGAAATCCTTTATTTCCTATGAAGAGCTCTGCAAAAAACATCTAAAATCTCTTAAATTAAGTGTATTTACTCTTAATCTAAGCAGGTAAATACGATCTTCTGCCAGGGAGTATATTTACTCTGATAATCTGCATTTAAAATAAGACAATGTCATTGTTTTTTCTTATTTTAAATATAAATTGTCTTCTTCCATTGGAGAACTGTCTGAATGACCTCCTCAATTCAAGCAAGAATGATTTACTTATTTAGGTTTAAGTTTTTTCCAGTGCATGCTTCTCTTGCGCTGGTGAAAATGATTTGCTCACCCAGATGCATGCTGGTCCTTCCACTGACAGCCTATTTATAAACTTCATTCACACAGATTGTTCATAACTAACCAGAAACAAAGAAACAGAACTAAATAAGCAAAAAAACAAGTTCAAAACAACATTAAACAATAAAGCAAAAATAAATACAATTAACTAAATTATCCACATTAACTAATTAATTATTAAAAAAATAAGTAGCTTTTACACTCATATTGTGCACCATTTTGTGATGCTTGTCTGAGAAAGGTGCTATCTACATAAACTTTGCTTACATGAATTAAACAC